GACATCAGTGGAGCTGCTCTGGCTACAACTATCACCTATTTTTCCAACTTCATTAACCCCAAAACCCCAAAACCCCAATTTCATTGTAATTTAAAGTTAACTGATTAGAATGTTTAATGTATAATTTAAATAAAATAATTTAGTATGGCAGCTAAAGTAGGAGAAGAACGCTTTGTCTTTGAGACTGAATGGTTTGATGCCTAGGCCTCTTTGATCAGAAAATATCTCTTTACATTCTACCCAGGAGATAGAACTATCGAAATGGTGAGTAATATATCCTAGAGAGGAGATATAATTGGAAACTAATAGCATTTTGTAGTACGATCTCAAGAATAAGAAAGTTTTCTTAAAGAGAATGGCATGCCCAGGAGTTTCCATGGATGAGCTATTTATTGGATCAATCATCACTGTCTATGCAAGATAACTAAAGCTTGTAGAATATGGAGATCTATTCACTAGACAAAGATTTGAGAGCAAAAGACAAAGAACCTTTGCTATGATCAAACCTGATTCATATACTAACACTGGGAAGATTATCGATGCTATCTATTAAAACGGTTTCGTGATCAGCAAGCTAAAGATGGGCAGATTCAGTAATGAAAGTGCTGGATAATTCTATGGTGAACATAGAGGAAAGTCTTTTTATAATGGCCTGATTGATTTTATGACAAGTGATGTAGTCACAGGTATTGAACTTGTCGCTGAAAATGCAGTTGAAAGATGGAGATAACTTATTGGACCAACTAAAACTTCAGTTGCTAAAGTATAAAATCCAAACACAATCAGAGCAATTTTCGGCACTGACGACACAAAGAATGCTGTACATGGCAGTGACTCAGGTCCATCCTGGAAACGTGAGACTGATAGCTTTTTCAGTCCAAATGTTAAACATTCAGCCTATTACACAAGTTGTGCTGTCTGTGTTATAAAGCCTCATGCAGTTGCAAGTGGAGATGCTGGAAAAATCATCGATATTATTCTAGAAGAAGGCTTTGAAGTCTCAGCAATGGAGATGTTCACTCTTGATAAGCCTACTGCTGAGGAATTTTTAGAAGTTTATAGAGGAGTGTTGCCAGAGTTTGTAGCACTTATTGAATAAATGACTCAAGGACCATGCATTGTAATGGAAATCAGATAAGAAAATGCAGTCAAAGCATTCAGAGACTTAGCTGGTCCAATGGATCCTGAGATCGCAAAAAATCTTAGACCCAACACTCTTAGGTAATAATATTTATTCTTAAACTATCGTTATAGAGCAAGATTTGGTTTAGACAAAGTTAAAAATGCAATTCATTGTACAGATCTGCCTGAGGATGGATCTCTTGAATCAGAATACTTCTTTAGTATAATGCAAAAAGAATGAATTTATATTTAAGTAAAATAATTTATAAATATTCATTCATACATCAAGTCTTAAGTTTTTCTTATCATATTTTGACTATCATCTTGCAGTTCTCATTCCCTTATTAAGCTGGCTTTAGCTTGCTTTCCTTCGAAGAGATATTAGCTAACCAATTTTACCAGGTTAATCCTATTAGTTGCTACTCTTATTCATGAAATCTGCAAGATTCTAGTTTAATGCAAATGATTTCTTAGGAAACTAAAATCCAAATGTCTGATTTGCCACTTAGTCATTCATGTCATTTTTAGCTGTAAATTGCTATCTATTTTAATCCTACTCGTATAATTGTTACCCGAAAGTAACTCTGTCCACTAACTGTTTTAACTTAAATTTATCATCTTTAAGTGGAGGAAGATTTGATTAACTGGCATTAATTCTATGGTTTCTAGATGATTTTATCTAGGGGAGCATAGAAGTTTAATTTTTTGTTTCAGTGTCTATTATAGATTTGTTGAAAACAATGCTACTTTGACTATCATCGCCATTTAGTCTATTATTTCTTGACACTTATTAATCATTGAATAAGTCCAATATATCAACATTCTAGTTTTTGGTTATCTATTCCTTGTTAGTCATATTCCTAAGGTACTTAGATTTGAATTTTGGCTTACTCTCTTGTTACAAATTTTCGAAATTGTTGTCTTATACTAAACTGATTTTTAATCCATCCTATTCATTTGTAAACACTAAGGTATCTATCTATTTATTGATTTCTTGAATCATTAAGAGATTTTGGTCCATCTCTGGATTTACTTTGGTCATATCAATGATGAATTTTTACTGGTTTCTTTTGTAGTCATTTAAAGTCATCTAATTCGGCGGCACTTAGTACAGTTTTTATTGGATATCTAAAATATCCTTGGCTTCTTTGCTAATCTTTTACGCTAAAATGTTGCTTTATAACGACTTTTTTGCTGAGTTATTAGTAATAGAACTCTTAGATCATGCAGATATTTGGGTTTCATCTGCTATATTATCTATTTATTATTTGATGAACGAAAGCTTAACACCATTATTAACATTAAGACTCTTAAGATTAGTATGCTAAGTTAAAGAAGTTTAATTTGCTTCATCCATAAAGCTATTCTTCATTAAGTGAGGCTTTATATTGAGCTCTGATAATAGATTTTGAGAATCTGCCTTTTCTACCAATCCTACTTTTGAATAGTATGGATCAAGCTATTTAGTTATATTTAATAGCTATCTTTAACTTTTAGAACCCTTTAAGGACCTTATTTATTAATTAGAAATATTTCTAAGTTTCTTGTCCTAAAGATCCTTTTATTTTACTTAAGTAACTTGAGCCTAGATGGCGGGCAAACGATCAGTATTCAAATTCTTGAAAACTATAGGTTTTCCGTCTTAATCTGTTGTAACATTTACTCGTGGATTATTCACATTTAGGCTTTTAGGATCTCTTATAAAAGTGTGTGCTCCAGCGTTAATTGGAGATTTGCTATTTTCACTTTCGCGCTTTTCTTTCCTCTTCTCTTCATTTTATCTGTATTTTCTTAAGTAATTAACTATAGAGTTTATCTATGCATAGTTTTCAGCTCCTTCTTAATTGAAAATTCTCTGCTCAATTCTCATCATATCTCCAGAAGTTTCCTCATTCAAATAGATTGGTAGAAACTTTGGTTAGCTATTCTTTTTCTACTACATAGTGCTTCTTTGAGAAACATCCATCTAGCTTGATGATTTTTTTAGTTGTTCTTGGCCTTTTACAGGTGATGAGGAGTTTTTCTGTGACATATGCTCTATTTTTGTCGATATCTTTCTAGAAACGGACTAGTTGAAAGTATTTAAAAATGAGCTTGTTTATTTTTAATCTAAATATTATTATTCGTCAATTATTAATTCGCTAGGAGCATCAATCAGGATCTTATTTACTCTCTTTAAGTCTTAATATGAAGTATCAATATTAGCACTTTTTGGCTCATCTAGCTCGTCAATTAGAAATGTTTTAGCATCTTTAATCAGAAATCCCAACTAAATTAATCTATCCATATCCATTATCTGGCGATTTAGAATGTAATTGGGAATTAACTTTTATATTCTTTACTCTTCTATATAATCTTGGATGTTAATTAATAGATCACTAATAACATCGCTAGCCATCAGGTGTGATTATTAATTTTTGGAAAAATCATAAGCGATAGGGATTTTATTGAGTATAGGTTACTACTTCAAGCTAATGCTGACATTTCCTCTTTTATTGCTTTTATCTTATTGTGCTCTCATTAAAGTGTATTAATTTTATTGCATCTGATTAAATTTTACTATTCTAGATAGCTGGGGTTTTGGGGTTTTGGGGTTTTGGGGTTTTGGGGTTTTGGGGTTTTGGG